CAATGCTTATGTACTGTTAACTGGATATCTTCTTCATTTCTTGCCGTTTTTATTTGTCGAACGAACTTTGTTTTTGCATCATTACTTACCAGCTTTTATTTTCAAAGTCTTATTAACAGCAGCAACAATTGATCATCTGTATTATTTAATTGGGTATGTTTTCCTAATTTAATAGTATAACATTAAATATAATTTGATCTTATATGAAGTTAATGTTAATTATCTATCTTCTATTTCAGCACTCATCGTCCATGGAACATTTCATTGTACATTCTAACATGTGGTACCATCGCTTGGATACTGTTTGTCATTTATGTATTTAAGAAATTCATTGTATTTAGTTATGGAACATCAGCTCTCAGTGCCAAGGATGTGATAAAATTGAGATGGAAAGATACCTGGGATTTTATTGTACATAAAACGTAAGAGTTTATCAAGTTAGATTTAAAGGCACAAAACTTTTACTCTCTCGCATAAGATATAATATTTTTAATTAAAAATGTTATGTTCAGAATGCGTGACATTCACAAAACGAACATTATACGTACAAATTAACGTGTTTTTATACAAAGAGATTTAACAGATATTATTGCTTTTAATGCGCATATATATATATATATATTATAAAGTATTTTTAATAGAGTTATAAGTGCCACAGATAGGCTAAATGACATAATGATAAATACTTTGATAAAGTAAAAAGTTAGATGAAAATTTTTATAGACTGATAATATATTTTGTAAGTTTGTTTTTATTGGCTTTTGCCACATTGCAAAAAAGTCACAAATATATTTAAAAAAAAATATATGGGTATAAAAAATAACGTATGTTATATTTTCTAATTGATAATTCAATGCAAACTTTTTTGATATTTGTTTAACAAGTAGTAGATCTTGTTAAACTGTATATAATGCAAAGATATATAGATAACACAATTTTAAATAAATTATTTTTTATAAGTATCAGATTAAGATCAGGAAAGAATTGATATTGGAATATGAGGAAAATCAAAACACGAAATAATGGATGTGCAAAATTTAATAAAAGCATTTAAAATACAGATTCTTCTCTTTATATTTATTAAATGTCGATATTCGCGCCGTATAAGTTAAAAAGGTTTTTATTTGTACAGAATAAATTATATCTTTATGCTTAGAATCGAGTATATTTGTACATTTTTTTCAAAATTTACAGTGAAAGATTGCTTTGAAAAATAAAGAAATGTCACAACAATGCAATGTACAACGTAAGAGTGGATTCTTTTTATTTTCATAAGTCCAAAAGTATGTACGCAATTCTTTTTTCTGTCATGTTCAACATGATCAAAGACACTAATGATATGTGAAAACTATAGATCGAATAAGACCATCACGAATCGCATGTGCACTATTACCAACTCCGAATGAGAAGAACACAGAATCACAGGACATATTTTGGGCACAAACTCCTACTGGATACCATCCAGCCTTATTAAATACCACACCAACTCGGTAAACCTGTTCATAACAGAATAATATTTTCATGATATAAACGATTGAATATAATAATATATCTGAATATAATAATATATCTGCAAACGATCAAAGCAAATCGAGAATTTTTGGCACTTCAGAATGAGATTATTTTATGATTTTTGCAAAAAGTAATGACAAATATTAATTACATAGTAAAAAAATAATTATATTGCAGTTACACGAACCTTATGCTTCTGAATGTAAACTGGTCGATTAAAAGTAATTTCCACGAGAGTGCCGAAATTCGCTTTAGTGGTGAAATGTGTGTACGTCAAACGCGTGCCGTCGCAGTCGAGAAGATGAGCGTACAAGATTTCGGTGTAAGACGTATCACCATGTATAGGGTGAGTAAAACTGCTCGCCTAATAAACGAATTGCGTGATATATGCGAACGGTAATTACTACTACTGCTCCCGGGCCATACAGGCCTGTTTGGCCCTTGGCCTCCTGGCGAACGGTAATTAGATGGACATAATAACTAATCTCTCTAGCTTACCGCGGCGATTTGCGTGGGAACTTGTACACCCACTACACAAATGTTCTTATCCACACTGAACGTGACGGAACAATCCAGTACGTTTGTATTCAAGCAATCTGTTTGTTGAACTATCGATCTGAGGCAGTAATATTTTGGTCCCTCGCGTACGAGCACTGCCGTGGAAGAGGAATTTGCAAATAAATTTCCAGAATCCTTATTCATGCCTTGTTCATGTCTCCCTCCAAATATCGGTGAAGTTTCCCGCAATGTACTGCTAGGCTCCCTATCATTTAGAAGGCCAGTACGCACCGGAATATTCAATTGACCGTATGGAATAAATGGTTGAATAAAAGATCTTGTTTTTTCCTCATCTAAAAGAGAAAACATCTAAAAGAGAGAAAACAAATGAGAAAAGTGCTGTAATATATACTTTTTCACTCTAACATATATATATTTATATATCTTCTTTTAATAAAATGTTGTTCTTTAGCAACCATCCAGAAAACTTTGTGACTTACTTTGGGAAGTACCATAGTGGTACCATTCGTAGTTTGAGACTTTACTGGCTTTGCTCTGCTATTTGAATTAGTACAGAAACCTTCGGGCATAGGTGTTTTGTTGTCAGTACGTAATATATTCATTAATATATCAAAAGCCTCATCTTTTGTGAGCAGAGGAGACATACCAGGACCTCCTGCAAACTCTTGCGGAGTCAAACTCAAAAATCTTATCTTTGAGAGGGCATTTCCAATAACAGATTTTAAAGATTTTCCATTGGTTGGATCAAGAAATTTCCTAGAACATTCTGCCTTGGCCCATTGTTCCAATCCAGTAAATAATTCTATCTCCGAACTGATCTGCAAATCATCTTGGTCCAAGACCTTGAGAAGTGTTCCTAGCTCCACATCCTCCCAACTAGATTCCTTTAATATTTCGTCCGTCTTTGTGCGTATGATCTGCAAACACTTGTCCATCAACACAGGTTCTTCAAACAATTGAGCAAATTCGTATGCCCTACATGCTTTCTTCGGCGAGAGATCTGACCAGAGATACTTTGTGCATTCCTCTACTAAGCATGGCAGCATGTACTTCTTGGCACAATAACATAACTCACAAGCCAACTCGAAAGATCCTAACTCTACTTTATCTGTATATATATATTCCAACAAAGCCTTAAACGCTTCAGGCTGAACATCCTTTATCGGTATCGGATCATTCTTTTCTGCCATACCGCCAAAGAACATAGCCTCGAAAACTGGGCTAGACATTGCCAGAAACAATTTGTGGCCTTTGAGAGTCTGTTGTTGAGGTTCTTGCCCGACGATAAAGTTGCAATCGGACCATTGTCCAGTCTCCAGCAAGTACTGGCCACGCTCCGAAAGTTTCTGTTTGCTGGTCTGCCAGTCGCAAAGCAGGCTCATCTTTACGATACAGGGTGTTCACTTGTGCGTGCGTGTATACACGATTTTCAGCTGCAATGTGAATACAGAGTAATGAGAATGGACTATGACGAGTGAAGTAAACTCGCGAACATGTCCGTTATTCGCCAAGACGTATTTGTCACCCTGCCTTATCTTATCTGTCAGATGGACGTATAAAGATTTGTACACTTAGGGTATGTAATTGTCACGTCAATGCAACATGAAATATTTCTCAGTGGGTTTTAAATATCGATAACAATCTGGTTCTGTAACATGTCAATGTGTATTGCTCTACTTGACAACCATATAAGAATATATGACATTAGGTTGAGACGTGACGTTATGTATGTAACGTGCATAGATCTTTATACGATCGGACGACGACAAAGATGAGCCGTAGATGACGCACGTGAGAGACGCGCGTACATATATACTCACCTATTTTTGAACAACACACGTTATCGCTATAAATACGGCGTGGCAAGACGCACGCTGGCCAAAAAGAAATAGTCCACGTGAGAAGAGAGAGAGAGAGAGAGACAGACAGACAGAGAGAGGACAGCCGTCGTGTGGATGCGGATACGTCGTACGCGGGGAAAAATGAGCCACCTATCCTAGATGACTTGGAGAATACGTTCTCGATGACACTTTACACTTTCGCGCTCGCACACGAAGTGCAGCGAAATCGGGCAATCGAACGAATCTGTCGTCGTGGTTGTTGTTATCTATCTTCTTCCAGTTCCGATGCGCCAACTGTCATCCGAACGCTACTGAACGCTACGCCATCTTAGACTGACTGACGACCACTGACGACGACGCCCCCTTCCCTCCCCCTCTCTTTCTCTATCCTTGCTTCTTCCAAGGCTCAACCTTTCCTCCCTCCTCCTCTAACCGTCCCGTTTCAACGCTTTTCGGAGTGGTCGACGGTCGACGCTCGCTCTTCGCATCCGCGACGATTTTCCACGACACAACGTGCCTGTCGCTCTCCCCCCTTCCCTTCCTACCCTCTGTTCCTTCCTTCTATTACCGCTAACGCACGTTATCGCTATAAATACGGCGTGGCAAGACGCACGCTGGCCAAAAAGAAATAGTCCACGTGAGAAGAGAGAGAGAGAGAGACAGACAGACAGAGAGAGGACAGCCGTCGTGTGGATGCGGATACGTCGTACGCGGGGAAAAATGAGCCACCTATCCTAGATGACTTGGAGAATACGTTCTCGATGACACTTTACACTTTCGCGCTCGCACACGAAGTGCAGCGAAATCGGGCAATCGAACGAATCTGTCGTCGTGGTTGTTGTTATCTATCTTCTTCCAGTTCCGATGCGCCAACTGTCATCCGAACGCTACTGAACGCTACGCCATCTTAGACTGACTGACGACCACTGACGACGACGCCCCCTTCCCTCCCCCTCTCTTTCTCTATCCTTGCTTCTTCCAAGGCTCAACCTTTCCTCCCTCCTCCTCTAACCGTCCCGTTTCAACGCTTTTCGGAGTGGTCGACGGTCGACGCTCGCTCTTCGCATCCGCGACGATTTTTATCCACGACACAACGTGCCTGTCGCTCTTCCCCCTTCCCTTCCTACCCTCTGTTCCTTCCTTCTATTACCGCTAACGACACGCGCACGAGAGTCGCGCTAAGTCCCAAGATCCCAAAGTCTCCTCCGGGTGATTTCAGACCGAACACGTTCACCGCGACGATCGATAATCCCGCGGCGCGGGTCGAAAAGCCGAGGGATCGAAGCCGCGGAAGTGCTGTGCTTGTACAGTAGTGGTGCTGTGCTGTGTCTCTCCGTCGTCGCGGATCAACCGTGTACATGTACGCGCATCGTCGCGGCCAGCAAAATGCGAACGTCGTCGTGAGTAACGCCAAGAGATCGTCGATCGGAGTTTGTATCGCTCGCGCGAGAACGGCGCACATTGAACCGGAGTGCGCGGAAGAAAGAGACGGATAGAGTAAGCGAGAAGAGAGGGAGGAAAAGAGCAGAGAGAAAGAGGCGGATTCTCGCGGAGTCTTTCCGTGGCTTTCGACGACCGTTGTGAATCGCCACCGATGGTGCACGCACGGTTCGGCTGTGTACACCACGCGAGATAATGCGCCTTCCTCTTCCCGGGGCGCCCGTCCGGATGACATCGTCGCCAGCCAACAACGGGACGACGTAGGGTGACGTCGCGACGAGGTACGTGTACCCCGCCTCTGCGATTCATCCTCATCCATCTCTCATCCGTACCTTCTTCGTCGCCGGTGCGATAATCGCCGTCCGTGAATGTGCGAACCACGGATGTGTTCTCGTCACCTCGGACACGAGGGGCTGACTTCTCCCCTCCCCCTCCCTACCCCCGCCACCTCTGACATGATCGACAGGATACGCGAGTGCGCGCGCTTTATAAGCGTTTTTCGCGAACATCTTTCCCGTCGCCGCCAATTCCCGGGGGAACGACGATGCGAGAGAGGCGAGGCTTTCCGCGTGTCATTTGACGTTCTCTCACTGTACGTGTTCCATCGTAAACGCTACTACTGACGTAACCCTCACATTCGTTCGAAGCTCCTCTCCGTTTCCTCCATCGGAGTGTCCATACGAAAAAGCGCGCAACGGGGAGGATCCTCGTGTGTCGTTGTAGTTTGCCGATGTTATTGCGAGGAAAAGGCGTCAGATAACAATACCGTTGTCGGGATCGCTCTTTGTTACACGCGCACGAATCGTTGTCACCTTGCAAATTACGCGGCTGAGTCATTGTTCCGTTAAACACGGTACCGCGACGTGTTGCCCGTATTTTCCTCGCATCGAAATGTTCTTGTCGCTTCTCTCATTTCTGTTTATCAGCAAATGCGAATTTGATTCTGAAATTATGTTTTTATAGATATTTATGTAACACAAGCTACATTGGTGAAATGCTAATCAGCAGAATTTCAAATTGTTTGTATTGTCACTGTAGTGCTGTCATAACGTTGTTGCTTTCATGTTCTATTATATAAGAACTAGAAATACTGCCAAGTGTTACAAGTACATGTGTTACCTGTGTTTATTTCTCATATATTTTTAATATATTTTTATGTCTAGCATATAAAGTACAGCGACTAGAATTCTATATATCGTTAATATAATTACACAGTTTTTTATTATGAGAAAGACTTGTTTACTATATTTGTTTACATTTATTTACATTTGTTTATGGATTTATTTGTTTAGAAGATATGGAGGGTCCATTGAGCATCACTGTTACACATTGTTCAAATTGATGCTACATTTAGCCTTGAATTTGGACAATTTTTAATGCGATAGAAGCAGTACATTGTTGAGGCACAGTAATCCAGACTCCTATCAAAGGAGAGATGGATACCGTGTGCGATGAGGATAGGCGGAGACGCCTACGGGCTTTGGAGGAGAAGATTAAGGATCCGAGAAGTGTCACAAATATCGATTGCTTATTGGATACAGTCCAGGCCTTGGTATTAGATTGCGATCATGCGAGCGTGAAACGTATGAAAAATATAGAAGCTTATATGAATAGATGTAAGTATTGTTTTATAATGCTTAATAGAAATGTAATATTTATTAATCTTTTTTAATTTCACAAGCGAATAGGTGTGCTATATATGAGGAGAATGAGAATATTTATTTGTGTTTTTACAGATGACTCCGTAGCACAAGAGATTTATAAAATGCGAATGCGTACGGATGATTTTACTTTGATAAAAGTAATCGGCCGTGGCGCATTTGGAGAGGTGCAGTTGGTTAGACATAGATCTACGCAAAAGGTTTATGCTATGAAATTACTTAGTAAATTTGAAATGGTGAGAATATCTTTGTTCATTTTTGTGCGTGTCGTAAAAAGTTTGTCTATATTTTTCCTTATTCGAGATTTCATGTTATTTTTTTAGATTAAGAGATCGGATTCCGCATTTTTTTGGGAAGAGAGAGACATAATGGCTCACGCAAATTCTCCGTGGATAGTCCAGCTCCACTTTGCATTCCAAGATCAAAAGTATCTCTATATGGTTATGGATTATATGCCAGGAGGAGATTTAGTGAATCTGATGTCCAATTACGAAGTGCCAGAGAAATGGGCAAAATTTTACTGTGCCGAAGTGGTGCTTGCATTAGACGCGATACACCTTATGGGTTTCGTTCACAGAGACGTGAAACCAGACAATATGTTGCTCGACAAGCATGGTCATCTAAAACTTGCCGACTTTGGCACATGTATGAGGATGGATGCTGTGAGTTTAACCTCTTTTATTTTTGATTTTAAATTAACTAGGTTTACATTTAAACACTATTAATAGAAAACATTTTGTAAAGATATTCTAATTATGTATATTAAGACAAATTTTTGAACCATAACTTATTTTAAAGAAATAAAATTATCTTATATTTAAAATGTGACAAGGTAAACTTATAATATTGCGAGAGTATAAGCTCTTTCTCTCTCTCTCTCTCTCTCTCTCTCTCTCTCTCTCTCTCTCTCAGATTAAAGCTTCTTAATTTTAATGTTCAAATGTTTGCTTTGCAGGACGGTTTAGTACGGTCCGATACAGCGGTTGGTACACCCGATTACATATCCCCGGAAGTTCTACAATCGCAAGGCGGGGAAGGAGTATACGGTCGCGAATGCGACTGGTGGTCCGTAGGTGTTTTTCTGTACGAGATGTTGTTCGGTGATACACCGTTTTTCGCCGACTCCTTAGTGGGGACATATTCAAAAATCATGGATCACAGGAACTCGTTATACTTTCCTCAAAATGTCGAGATTTCTCATTCGGCGAAGAACTTAATATGCGGCTTCCTCACTGATAGAACGAAACGTCTGGGTCGTAACGGTGTCGATGAAATTAAAAGCCATCCATTCTTCAAGAACGATCAGTGGACTTTCGATAATCTAAGGGAATGTGTGCCACCGGTAGTGCCCGAACTTTCAGGGGATGACGATACTAGCAATTTCGATGACGTCGACAAAGAGGACGGACCGGAGGAGAGTTTCCCAGTACCTAAAGCTTTTTCCGGAAATCATCTGCCTTTCATTGGATTCACTTACTCGGGAGATTACCAGCTAATGTTCTCTTATGGCAAGGAGTCCGTGGATGGATTGGAGAATCATGTTAATAATGGTACCACTGACGATGTGAAGATCTCGCAGCTGGAAAACTTGCTAGATCGTGAGAGACGACAAGTAGAGATGATGGAGTCGAGACAGAAAGCGTTGAACATGCAGTTGGAAGCAATGACATGTCGAGAAGCTGAGCTGCGTGAAGAAGTAGGCAGAGCGGACAAAGAATTGACGCTGCTCAGGCACAATTACAAGGAGGCGCAACGTAGAGTGGAGCACGAGACGGAGACTCGTCGGAAGGCAGAATCATTGCTGGTGGAAGTGAAGAAGAAGTTTGACGAGGAGCAAACAAGGCGGGCGCGAGATGTCAGCAATTCGCAGCAAACATCCGAGCGAGTAACGACATTGGAAAAGCAGATCAAAGAGATGCAGTGCAAACTAGAGAGAGAAACAGAAACGGTGACGAGATTGCGCAAGCAGGCGACGGAAATCACTGTGGCGCGTCAAGCCGCCGAGCAAATGGCGAGCGAACTCCAAGTTGCCAGGGCTCAGCTGCAAGCACAGCGTGATAATTTACAACAAGAGGTTGCCACGCTCCAGGTACAATCCAATTTTTTTTTCTAAATGAAAAAAAATCTTATGTTTTTTGCAAGATGCGTGTAAATTTTTGAAAAATTATAAAAATGTTTTTTTCTCCAAAAATCTATAAAATAATATTCAAAATTTAAAATAAAAAATTGGTTTAAAAATAATTTATCTTTCATACATGAAATGTTCTTCCGTTTTTCTACAGGGCCAACTTTCCAAGGAACGAAGTTCGAGATCGCAAGCATCATTGTTGACGGCCGAACTAGAGACACGTCTTTCTGCCTTACATCTCGAGTTAGAACGTAGTCGTGAGAAGGAGGAGAAGGCGACTCTGGATAATAGACAACTAAACGAAAGAATTTCCGCGTTAGAAAAAGAAGCTGCTAGTTTAACTCTGGAATTAAAAGCTGCGCAAGCGAGGTACAATCAAGAAGTTGTGGCGCATCAAGAGACGGAGCGTTCGCGCATTCTCTCCAAAGAGGAAGCCAATTTGGAAGTTGTCAAAGGTACTTGTTTCAAATTTTACATGAAGATAGAGACATCATATTTCTGATAAAGCATATTTTATTTTGCCTATGCAACGCAGGGCAAAAGAACGGAATTTTCAAAGGTAATATATGTGATCGACGAATTCACACTTTCTTTTTTTTCTGTTCTTGAAATATATGCTAGAATATATTCTGAAATATCTAAATTATTTACTTTTATATTTATAAACTGCATTTCTGCTATTTTGTGCTAATCTCTTATGTGTTTTCTCATTATTGCTGCATATTTGTATGTAATGGCATATCTATTTGTGTACGTACATATTCTAATCTCTATATTTATAAATTTAAAGAAATGCATTTCATATTGTTACTTATGTTACGCATATTGGTTTACTACAAATAGGTCTACAAGCGAAATTAAACGAGGAGAAAAGCGGAAGACAACGCGCGGAATTACTTGCGCAGGAAAAGGAACGTCAGACATCAATGCTCTCTGTCGATTATAGACAGATACAACAACGATTGCAAAAGTTAGAAGGTGAACACAGACAAGAAGTGGAAAAAGTCAAAGTGCTGCAGGGCCAAGTTGAGCAGGAACAACAGAAAAGGAACGTCCTTCAGACCGATTTAGGTCAGCAAACGTCCGAAGCGGGAAGACTTCGCGCTCGCGAGCAACAATTGGTTGGAGAGGTTGCTCAATTGAGGGAAGCTAAGCGGCAAATAGAAGAGGAGTTACATCACTTAAAAACGCAAAGGAACGTTGATCAGTTACAGACGAAAGAATTGCAAGAGCAATTAGAAGCCGAAGCTTATTTCTCGGTACGTAATAACAAAAGTTTAATCACGTATATGATCTCAAATCTGTAATTATCGAATAATGAACAAAAACAATACAAATAAGAAATATTGGATATAAGAATAAATATGAAACTTATTATAACAAAATTATCGTGAGTTTAGATTTTCAGGGAGAATTATAACTTTTGTGTTTTTCAGACTCTTTACAAAACACAGACGCAAGAATTACGTGAAGAGCTGGACGAAAAAATGAGACTGCAGCAAGAATTGGAGGAAGAACGTAGCTCTCTGGTTCATCAGTTACAACTGTCTTTGGCGCGCGGTGATAGTGAGGCGCTGGCCAGATCCATAGCCGAGGAGACCGTAGCAGACTTAGAAAAGGAAAGAACCATGAAGGAGCTGGAATACAAAGACGGAGTAGCCAAGCATCATCAAGAGCTAAATTCAAAGGAACAAATTATAAACAGACTTAAGGAGAACGAAAGCGAATTCAAGAAATCGGTCGATCAAGCTCTGAAGGAAAAGGAGGACTTTGGCAAACGGTTGAAAGAAGTGCAAGAGCAGCTTGGCAAAGCACAGTTCAATGTGGAAGAAATTGAAAAGCTAAGCAGCAAGCTAAAAACTGAACAACTGTTGAAGCAGCAGGCGGTCAACAAGCTGGCCGAGATCATGAACCGGAAGGATCTTTCGTCGAGCGGGAAGAATAAAAACAAAGCATCTGCTGCAGATCTCAGGAAGAAGGAGAAGGATTGCAGGCGCCTGCAACAAGAACTCACTCAAGAGAGAGAAAAGTACGGACAATTGGCAGCTAAATGGCAGAAAGATTTGCAAGATATGCAAGTAAGCGAGATATATCTTTACTTGCATTTTGTATATTATATAGAATTGCATAAAAAAAATTTTTTTTTTCTCAGGCGCAACTTGTGGAGGAAAATCAGGCAAAGCTAAAGCTGCAAATGGAACTGGATTCGAAGGACTCAGAAATAGAAACGCTGCAAATGAAAATTGCGTCGCTCAATTCGGAAACTGCAAGCGTCTCGTCCATCGAGAACGACGACGCTGAGGATTCGGTTTTGTCTGAGCATGGTACGATGAGACTGGAGGGTTGGTTAAATGTGCCAAACAAGCAGAATATTAAGCGGCACGGCTGGAAGAAGCAATACGTTGTAGTCTCCTCCAAGAAGATAATTTTCTATAATAGCGAAAACGATAAAATGAACGCCGATCCGGTTCTGATATTAGACTTGAATAAAGTCTTCCACGTTAGATCTGTTACTCAGGGTGATGTTATCCGAGCCAATGCCAAAGATATACCCAGAATATTTCAGGTATCTACTTTATTAATCTCGATTCTTTGAATTGCCATACTTGCGTCAGTATTGAACATTAATCAATCTCGTTTGCAGTTACTCTATGCCGGTGAAGGTGAAGCGAGGCGGCCCGGCGACGAAGGAAATACACTGCCTGGAGTGGATTTACCGCAGCTCACAGATAAACCCGGCACTCAGTCGCTGAAGGGTCATGAGTTTGTGTCAATATCTTATCACATGCCGACGACCTGCGAGGTCTGTTCGAAACAGCTCTGGCATATGTTTCGACCTTCGCCGGCTCTCGAATGCCGAAGTATGTATTGTATCTATTATTATAATCGTTTACATATGGATTTAACTTCTACATATGTCGTTCTCTTATCCTTTTTTTATATAAAACAAAATTCGCTATTATACGCAGGGTGTCGCATTAAGGTTCATAAGGAACACTTGGATAAGAAGGAGGATGCCATAGCCCCATGCAAACTGCACTATGATCCGAATAGCGCTCGTGAGTTGTTGCTGCTTGCGGCGAATCCTGAGGACCAGAAGTATTGGGTCTCGCGGCTGTCCAGACGCGTTCAGAAATGCGGCTACAAAGCGAACTCACACGTAGACGGCACGGGGCAGCGCGTTTCGCCAAGGTAGCGTAGCCGATGCTGCTGCTCGAAGTGAGCGGGGACTAAGTAGCTCTCTTATTTTGTGACATCGCATGATGTGGGTGTAGAGAGGTTAGACTTGTTTGATTTTTTTTTTTCCTTTTCCTTTTGTCATCATTTCTACACCAGTCTTGTATATAATTGTATATATTGGCACAATGCATGACATTGATTGTTGTGAATGATTATTGAAACTAATTGAACAATTAAATAAAATCAGAAAAGCAAATACTAAAAGACAATGTGTATCGATTTAAAAATAGCATGTCTCATGTAGATATTATACTGCACAACGAAATTTTCGGCGCTTTCTACAGAAACAGGTTAGCTTGTGCAATTTTCTCCACTCGTACTATCATATAATATATACATATTATTAAATTACCATGCTTGGAGAGCGTTTTATAGCTTTGACTATGCAATGTTTTTTTATTTGTGTTTTTGAGATCGAATGATATATAAATGACAGATTTATATGACATTTTATATTTTTTTTCCAGGGAATCCACGAGGTCGACTCTGAAGCCATACTTATTGGTGCAGCAACGATCCGCGACATTGCCAGCAAACGCCAGTATGGGCAAGTGATCTTGGAAAATGTTAGTATTGGCGATTAAGAATTCCACTCACGATCTGCTACCGCATTTTACGCGTTAATGGTAGTGATGTCAATGAGAATCGTGGTAAAAAGAACTTTTACAACCTCGTGATTTCCCCTGCGCACCTGGCAACTGAAGTAGACTGTCAATAATTTCCTAGATCAATGTGAAAATAATTGAAATAGTGATTACGATCGTAATGTGACTTTTGCAGCTAAGGGTAAGTGAAATTCAAGTTTGAGTATCGCTGGAGAAAACAGGGTTACTATATATGTACCGGGTGATAAACGGATACGATGATAAGGATGGAGAAAGATAGGATGCCGTGTCCAGGGTTGCGCGCCATTATCAAGTTCCCGGGACAATAATTGAATTAATTGAAACGCGCCGTGTTCCTCATATTTGCTGGATTGTTTTATCATGAGCGACATGTAATAATCTTTTCGGTGTTCGTGATATTCGCGGCAGATTGTAAAACGTTCTTTAGAAGAATGGTCGAATTTCTGCAGTGATTTTTCTGGATTAGAACTCTCTTATATTGGACTTTGTATACGCACATTTCTTACTGCCTTTGATAACGATTATCGATAAATTGTGATGGAGACTTTTAGCTTAAGGCGTTTTTTCGATGCTTTAAACCGATTTCGGAAGCTTGGAAAAAGAGTATATATATAGTATTTTGGAATTATTTTATATATACACAGAATGTTCTTTGAGGATGTATGTAGGTATGCGCGGGGATCTTTTGCTTTTAACATGAGTATTAGCGAGGATTTATTTAACATTTGATAGTTGAGATGTGTTTTTGGACCGAGTTTAATTTCAAGAAGGTGTAAATAACTGAATACGTGTTCGAAGATCAATGTTTTTATCGAAATTGCGGCAAGTGAGTTGGCTCATGTCGGCGGACATCGCGAGGAAGAAGTAATATTTGCGAAATTGACCAGAATGTGTGTGGCGTCTGTAAGAACTATATGAGTACACAATAATGAGTGCCAGCTTGTATAGTAGAGATAATGATTACGGTTGTACTTTAAAAGTTTTTATTACAATACACGAACTAATGACGTCCGCTATATCCCAACAGAGACAGAGAGACAGCTAACGAGAGGACAAACTAACAAAAATATATCATGCATAATTCAGAAGCTCAACAGCTTCGTCATGGTGCCATACGGCTTAGCCATTTTTGGCATCGAAAGAAGCGATAGGAAGAAACAAAAAAAACGAGAAAGATATTAGAAATCGTATTAGATATTATTAATGCATCATCGCCGTCTGTGTTCTTTCCAAAGTACGTTTGTGAGACATTGCGTTGTGTCGAGACTCGTCGGAACGAAGAAAGCCGCTTCCATCGATGTTAGTCAGCTAACTGTGGTTAATATTCTTCTTTCCCATGCGAACTCTCTAAAGTTATAGACACTAATTGCAATTAAACGAGTTGAGCGAAATTGTTCATTATGATTTCCTGTCTCTTTTCTAAAGAGATAAAATCTAAAAAAAGTTTGTCTCGGAAATCTAGAAAGATTTACATTTTTTTAAATGAAAAAGATAAAGAATTAATAAAGCATCAGTTAAGTTACGAATGATAGCTAAATTTAGAAAGGAGTAGGGAATCGATAATCAGAACCAAGTCAAGCAATAGAGCAAACAAAAGCAATAGAAAAACCAAGATTATTTATAGCAAGTTTGTCATACGCACGCCGAACTTTAGTTAATTAAATTCTCTTTTTTATTTGGATTATAGCTAACTTTCTAAATAGGGGAAGGAGAATTTCTAACCGGAATTAGTTAACTAAAGTTGTCGGTGTAACTGGTTCTAAGAACTCAGCGAGACGTCCATCAAAAATGGTGCTCTTCCCACTTTTTCCTCCCTGTCCTATCCATCCTTTTGGTTTGATAAAATATTGAGAGCGAGCGAAAAACTGTCGATGCTTCTCATAATTATAAATTGTAAAAGTACGAAAGAGAGAAAGAGATGAATTTGAAACAGAAAAAAAAACGTCATCCAATATACTGCCCCGTGCCTTCTTCACTATTTTGGTTCTCCATGAGAGCGAAACTTGGAGAAAATTGGCAATGAGAAAGAAAGAGGAAGAATGAAAGAATGAATGAATGAATGGGTGAGTGAGTAAGAATGATAGAGTGCGAGAATGACGGAGGGCGAGATAGATAAAGAAAGAAAAAGAAAGGAAAAGAGGAAGAACTTGTTACAGCATATTTTATTATTGTTTAGTTATTTACAATCTGTATATTATTAATTAATATTACGATTAAAAGTATTTTGTAGATAATATGCGGCTCTCTTTGATGATGCACTTATGACCACCGATTGCGCGATTTCGAGCATTCGCGATAATCGCGTATTACGGGCGATCTTTTTTCGTGGCGTTTGTTTCTCTTTTATTTATATATTGCTACAATCGATGGCTTAAAAGCTGCCCTCGTTCTCGATTAATTGTGGGCGAATGGAGCACGTATCGTAGAATTAATCAGAGATTCCCTATATGACTGCATGACAAATTTATGATGCAACATTATTTGAGAGTAGGTCTGAATTGCCTTAAATACGTTAGTTAAAATACGGTAAACTCGTTATGTCGTCTTCCCCATTGATGAAACTGTCCCACTTTAAATAATCGAAAAGTCCTTAAAAAGGTATTGATAAGTGAATATACTCTCAATCTACTTGTTTGCGAAAAAACAATGTGCCAAAAAGAATTCATTTTTCTCATAACACACGCAAGGATTAGAGATTTATGTAGGATTGATGATAAGTGGTATACGTTAAAATGCATGAAATAGGAGTGCTATTCTGTATATGCTACGAAGATTGTCGGTGTCGTTATGTATTTTCGCGCAGCTTTTCTACGGTATATTATACCTGCGCAGATATCGATAATTGTCGGTAGCATGTACATAATAGCGCTCCAGTTCTCTTAAGTAATTTTTTTAAATTCATCTAGAAATCAAGCAGAGAAAGAGAGAGAGATTAAAAAATTGAAATTATTTTCAAATTGCTACAATTTTTACATATACGTTTTAACGCACGAGTATTCTCATTCTATTATTTAAAATAGATCTATTCTGTATCATAAATAATTTTTTTATTGTTACGTATTAGAGGGATAAGAACCGGTGATCTAAGAAACGAAGTTAACTATAGCTTTTAGATTCGTTAAAATTTATTTCGACTACATTTGAAAAATCCTGCGTGTGTGGATGAGATCGTATGAGATCGATATGCAAAAATAACACGTGATGCAAGAACCGAATAATCCATATGAAGATGAATCATTTTTGATAGCGAATTCGAAAGCTCTGTTTTCGAATAATAGCGTAAAAACGAGTAAACTCTCCGTGAACGGTGCGTTCGATCAAATATTTCTATATTCGATTAAGTTTTCATAATTGCTCTAGATATGAACTAATCGGTTTTTTTTTTTCTTTTCATACTAGATCATTTATTTGGATATGTAACGCGTTTTTCATTCTCGACGGTCATTGCACTTTACGTCTCCACCGGAGGTTTACCTACCTACCTACCTACCTATATCTACTTCCCACTTTCCCTTACAGACGCGTTGCGTTATTCAAGAAAGTACATTGACTTTCTTTGTCGCTCGTGATAGATAAAAACTGGTTTACCGTCTCACTAATATCTTGTATATCCGAGTCAGATGGAACGACGAATTTATACGTGAAGAATTTATGAAATCAATAACTGATAGTTTCTATTAGCGGATCTAGAGATCTACTGAAGCAAGAATATACACATCCGAATAATTGTGGAATTATCGGAATCTAGGAATGGATTCAAAGTTGTTGTTCCATATGCAATATTAAATTGATACGATTTTACAAAATATTAACATCACATCAACGCACGCATGAACGACTTATAATGGACGACCGGAACGAAGCGCTCTTTAAACCTTATATGGAATCTCGATACTCTGCAATAATATGATATAAATCTTCGTTATATGTACAACAGAGAAAGGATCCGCTTTCGCTAATGATACGCTATTATTTATAAAGGCGAATAATCGAATACACTCGTAGACACATGCATGTCGCGGGACATATTGTGAGCTAAGGGGCCGAGCGAATACAGACGAGCAGGAGATAGAAACGGAGAATCTCTTGGATACAAACGAAGGATCGTTGCTCTGTTCGCTTACGCGCGATACGCACATACGCAAATCTCCACTTCCACGTGGTTAATGACGAAGCTGTAAAAATTCTTGGAAATTCACAGGAAAGAGATATGTGCTACTTTCCTTTTATCATGAGAACGATTCCACTGTTATCAAAGTTGATCGTTACAACGTCTTTCAGAGTTCTCGAGCATATGCACCACGATCTCTAACGCAATTATTCTTCTAATCTTGAGAATCTTTTCTTCAAAGAAGGGTTTCCTTTAATATCCACTTTTTGAAAAAAAATTTTTTTTTTTTATTTTCTCGAAGAAGCTTTCACACATTTCCTTTTTCAATGGAGATTCTTTTTTCTCATCTGCCGCGAAGAAAGTTTCAGTTTGTATTCTTCCTTTCATCTTCGGTTCTTTTGTCTCTTTTTTTTAAAGAAGATTTTTCTCATTTCTTCTTCTTTTTCTCTTTTTGTTTCTTCGCGTCTCTAAAGTTGTTCGTGGTGTTTCGCTCCGTTCGGAGTTTCATTTCCGACGAGACTGCGTAGTCTCGTAGCGAAAGATTATTTTCTTACAAGGGCAACCAGACCGCGATTCAAATGCGTTAACTTTGGTTTCATGAACAATTTCGTTGGAGTTGAAGAGGACTGCTGATGATTTCGATTTGCCGTCTGCTGCATACTTTGCTGCTTCTTCTTCAATGATTCTTGCTTGGCACCTCTGTTGTTTTTTTGTTTTTTGCACAAACGAATTTATTATTTTAATATCTTGTTTTTTAGTTGTCATAATTTTTATATTATCTCAATAATTTTTAATTAAAATTTCGTTAATTAAAAAAAGGTACTTAAAAATAACATTTTTCACTAATTTATTTGCAGATACTTTTTGTTAAATATGTAAACAATTTCGGTAAGAAAACTTAAATCTCAAATAAATTGGTGAACTCAATATACTGTTTTTGTAATTGAATGTAATAAGTTCTTGCATTATAAATATTTTAAAAGCACTCACAAGTATCGAGTGAGATCCTCCACGTCAACGAGCATCGAATCTTGTTCCATGTGCAAATCGTCTCTCCTCAAAAGACCTTCAACGAGCGCTTCATTCAAGGCAGCAATTCTTGCGTGTAAATCATTCGCCACTACTTGCAGTTGCGCGACATTTAATTCCGTGAGAAGAACTCGGGACAACCTGCGTCTGTCTTCTCCCAATTGAACACCGACCTGGAAAAGATGCAAGATTCAAGAGTTAATTAAATGTGAACGACAAAGCTAGTAATTAAAAAGTAAGCAGATGGAGTAATTGAATCTCTCGAATATATGATTTTTTCTCTCTTCGGAATTTTTATAAATGAAATTCTACTTTATTTAGACGATTAATAATTAATAACTTAGAGCTCTTTACTAACTTTTTCCAAACTGCATCGCACCATCTCGGTGATGGGGCTCTGCTTCAGCCTCTGCCTTTCCACTTCCATTTGCATGTGTGCCATCTCCTTTGCCTGTGCCAGAGCCATTCGCGCTTCGGTCTGTAGTCTAGCTTGCCGCGCGAAAAAGTCCGCCTCGTCGACCGGCGGCGTGGAATTCGCGCCCGCGTCGAGTCTCAGAGAAGGAAGACTCAACACCTGCGGCCTCATCGGCGCATATTGCTTCCCGCCGAGCTGCTTCGAACCGAGAGACGTGGGTGTGGATCCGGGAGATGCGTCGTTTTCCGAGCCCGGGGACTCTGTGTCCGACGATGTCTCGTTCATGAAGCAGATCTGGAGGTTCATTCCTGCACAAAATAAATGTACTCTCATGATTCATCGTTTAGTATTTTAATTGGACGGAAATGTGATGAAAAATAATTGAATTATTTACCGATTGTTTTTGATTCAACGATTATTATATCAGTATTTTAATAAGAAATATAAAGTATATAAGCTATGTGTGCGAATAGAAATGAACATGACAAAAATAACATTTTCGCGTATACTATTTATTAATAGTTCGTGCAATAGACTATTACTATTACGAAGTTAAAAGTTAATTATTTACATTCGCATATTCGTGCATTCATTCGTTTAATTATTATTTAATACCATATCTCGTAAGAGAAAAAATAAAATTCAGATCTATACGAACCACTCTGGAGACGCGATTGAAGACTTGGCTTTCGTCCACGTTCGGCGCGCAAATCTTCGGCGTCAGGTCCCATCGCGAGTCTCCTTCTGATTTCCTCACGATCGTTTCGTCGCTGCAAACACAAAAAAGGATGGATAGTATATTAATCTTACATCTCTCTTGTGCATATATGTAGATGAGATCATAAATCATGATAATTGCTAAATACTTTACGTGAATATATATAATATTTTATGCTGACTAATACACGCGTATAAAGAGTTAAAAAATTCTTGAAAAAAAAAAATATGAAAGAGATCTATGCATAATATTCAAACACAAAGAATGACCTTGTATCCAGATATAAGACGCGCAACGAATCTAAAGTTGGCGAACATTTAGCAGCGAACATAAAGTATTTAAAGATTCAGAAGAGAAAGATTATATGAATACGTTGTTATGAATAAATAATAGAATTAATATTTCTCGATATTATATTACGCGATTACATATCGTTTCTGTTCTCGACAAATTTTCACGAATCAATTCGCACCTGCAGATTCCCATCAGATTCGCCACGTACAACCCTGTCAAACCGTGCAATCAGATCTTCTCTTTCGCTCTCCTTCGTTTCTTCCGATTGTTCGACTGCTACAATCGATTCTGGAGGTTTATCCGTTTCCGCGATAATTTTTTTATCATCATCCTGACGCCACACACACACACACAAATTAACACTTTTCACTTTTATAATGTAATATATACGATGAGGCAATAACGACATTATTTTGCCCTCTTGCGAAGGGCGACAGACTTTCACGGATTTGTAAAGGAAATGCATATTTATCGAACACATGTTATGATAGTTATAGAGACAATATCTTTTCAGAATCGCGTAAAACGCTAACAAAAATAATTTGTAATATCAATGTTAGAGAGAGAATTATTTGTGAGAACAATCTAAATTATATATATTTTAATTAATTCAATCTACTATATAAATTATATATCTACGTCTTATATAAAGATGCAATTTTGATTATAGATATTTCGCAGCTCAATGTACAGAGTATACTAAAGATGTCCACACACACACACACACAGACAGCATCCTCATGCTTGAGTTTAATTACAGATTGTTTGACAAATAGAGCAAGGCAATTTGCGATTACGGCAGGGGAACTTGCTTCTACGCTAAAAATCTGTTTGTTCATTAACGCCACGATTTCCGTGACCCACTTTCACGCCTGCGTCGGTCCGGAACCGTACCGAATCGTATAGTTCGTCGACCTTCCTGTCGGAACGACAATATTAGTAGGTGATTATCTGAATCGGTCGAATTATTAAATCTGGCGCATCCAAGCTTGACACCACACTAATAGTAATAATGCAACTGTTTATTCTCCGCACGTGTATCGGTCGCGTGCAAACAAAACATGCATGAGAAGACGCGGTTGAGAATAGTGACGTTTTCTTACATTTGCAATTTTGACATATTTTTTATCCCATCTGTTTTTGATTTCTATCACATCCGTTTGAATATAATTGAAAATGTTACATTTTTTAAACATCGTTGTTTCCACACTTGTTCTGACTCATAGAACAGTTTGTATCAACATGTCTTGCGTTGGAATGTATATGACGACATTTCCGCTTTTTAGAGTATCGAAATTAAGCATGCTGCAATAATCATTCGCTGCTATACAACGATAGTATGAAAAAAAAAAAAAAAAAACTGTAGTAACTGCTGTCAATAAAATATAATGGTTAAATAAGATCAGAATACGATGGGAGAATATTTCAATAGCAAAATATTATTGCTCTGGATCATTTTTTGAATCTTGAGACAATTGAATTTATAAATTATTTCGCAACTGCTCATGTGTGTGACCTCATTGTTGGAATATATTAAATAAAGTTTTAGCGTGTCTCCTCGACTATCATAACATTTTTCCGAAAAATTATCAGCGAAATCATTTTTGCTCTTTGAATCAATATTATCGTGTCATTCAACAAAATGCAATGTATCTTTGGTTTTGCACTATTTTTTATTGTTTTATTCATTAGATAAAAAATAAATTCAATAAAAAATAAAGAATGATATTATATTAGTCGAAATGAAATGACGATGTAACTTAGATGTTTTCTCCTGTATCGCTTGAAGAATATTAACCTAAATAAGGTTCGGGAAAAAAGTCGAAATGCCAAGCTAAGAATAGCTTCGTGGATTTCGTGCACTTGTATCTCTTTGTGTCTAAGTTACATCGGATTTTTGCGCGTCGCGAATCGATACACTGTCGCCCTTCGTCCTTCGCGATGCGCGCTTCCCTTACAAAATCGAGATCGTTGTCGTAAGTGAACGTGTAGAGATCCGCGACGAATCTTGAGTCCTTCTTGTAGTGCTTGCGCGACTTGTTGCTACTGCCCATGATCGCGCACCACCTTGTTGTTTTTATCGAAATTTTTTAAGAATCCGTCGAATAAAATTCTTTCCCTCAAGCAATCTTATCTACAGAGTTCACAGACTCGTCTAGATTTCCTCATCCAATTTCTTATACTATTTCGTTCCTTGCACTTCATGAAATCGCTTTCTCGCTATCGCGCATAGACCCGAGTGATCTAGAAAGGAAGTCGTCGGACTTGGTCGAGATCAAGGTTGTTGAGGTGCAGCTAATCCCGAAGACAAGTCACGAGACGATTTGTTTGCGCGCGCGCGCGGGACGAAGACGGTACAAGACTGCAAAGCGAGTCGAGCGAAATCCTTCGTTAAGGTTTGCTGGCCGCGAAGGAGGTGCTCAATGGTGATGGCGATGATGGTGGTAGTGGTGGCGGTCGTGGAGGTGGCCCTGTCTACCGAGGCCTAGCACCTAGGAAGGCTTCTCACAGAGACCCTCGGTGAAAGTGCTGGACAAGAATGTGTTGGCTGCTCGTATGTGTTGGCTCGGCCGCGTTACCGAGTTCGCGCTCGTGCAATTCGCTTCATCTCGCGGAAAATGGGTGGAGAATCGCATCCGATGCTGCGCTCGATTGATAGTTTACAATATCTCTTGGAATAAATGATCTGATAGCGAAATACGTTCTTGTAGTCTCGTGTTCGGTGAATCTCATTCGAAAGTAAAATTTCCAGACGCAAGGAAGTTGGTATATGATATATATATATCATCTCGTTATCTCCGTTTTTGCATCGTATTTCGATTTGTGTAGCATTGTATTGCATTGTATACCGTTGTCATTCATAGTATTAAAGTTAGTACGCTCGGTAACTCGATAACTTTGCAATCTGATAACTTGACAAAAGTGAACGCTACGATACGAAACTAAAAGCGCACTTTTTTGAAAAGTTATACTTGGAAATACAAAAGAGTGAGGCTATACTTTGCAGCAAAAATATGCGAAACGTAAAGTCTCACCGGTCGAACCTTCTTCTTTTGCATAGAAAAATATTAAGGATTAAAGACACGACAAAAAGACACTGTTCATGCGAGGATCTAACTTAAATATTGATTTGCGAGAAAGTAGCGCGTAAATCAATTTCTAAATATTTTACGAAAACATTTTTATCTCGTTCCAATCTGCTGTGTATTCTCATACATATTCTCCTTCTCACAGAAACAGCGTAGATAATTGTGTATTTCGCTAAAGATAATTAGAGACATACAAAATAGAAAGTTATACATTCAATTGGCACAATTCTATTATGTCGTATTGTGTGCTGGAAAGTCTAAAGAGTGATCTGACGCACGCAGAGACGCTTCAAATTTAATGCGCTACGCAAGCTGCAACGTCGACTGCGTCGCGTGGTTGCAACAAAAGATCGTTAAATCATCTTCGGGGTCGTGCGTAAAGCGTTTCGGTTGACCGATCATGCGTTACTTCTGACCTACGCGCGATTCAGCGTTCGGTGCACGATCCTCTCAATTTAAACGAGCGAAGATCGAAAGTCGTTGTATATCGGAAAAATAATGTGACGTGTGGACAAAGCGCATATTTTTCTCGCAATGAATATTGAAAAAGTAATATATCTGCATGCGGGCAGAGCTTGGTTATTTATACTTCATCGCTCCATGTACTTCGTCACTTGAAATCATTGAACGTGCGTGTCAGGGTTTATCAATCGCGCGATATAAACCATTACGCCTGTCGATATTAATAATCAGAATCTCTTCTTTATTTTTAATCATTCTTGATACTTGGCAAGTTTTTTTTTTCATAGTTTCGATAAATTACAAAAATTATTGTAAGTAGAAAGATGAGTTTTCGTAGATTGAGCTAGGAGAGCAATTTTGTTAAAACTAAAATCGTTAGAATATTTAAAACTCGAGATGATTCTTTGTATATCTTGTTACACGTATGTTCTCGTATCAGAGACCTACATACGCATCCGCCCACAATACATACATAGATGCCTCCGCAAAATGCATTCAATTTCGCAGACGCGAAACTTTCGACATGCAGAATTGGCGCTTTATCCGCTGTTTGCCAAACATTCAAGAGTCAGCGGTAACTAAGGTAGGATATCGGAATACGTCAAGTAGAATACATGTGAATGAACCGAAGACTTTCATTGACCCGAGAAATTGAATTAATAAGCATTAATTTAAGCACTTATTTCTGTATAAAAAAAAAAAAAACAGAAGGAGAGAGGAAATATTGAAAATCGATAAAATCGCATATGGAATTATGTATGAGGAAAGGTGAATTAATGGATAAAAATATACACAGAGTCGCGCGCGATTAAGATCACGTCTCAAGAGATTAAGAGATTTAATTCCTAACAATCTTTATGAATGATAATTATTATTCGCGTAAAAAAAAGCGGGCAGAGCTTGGTTATTTATACTTCATCGCTCCATGTACTTCGTCACTTGAAATCATCGAACGTGCGTGTCAGGGTTTATCAATCGCGCGATATAAACCATTACGCCTGTCGATATTAATAATCAGAATCTCTTCTTTATTTTTAATCATTCTTGATACTTGGCAAGTTTTTTTTTTCATAGTTTCGATAAATTACAAAAATTATTGTAAGTAGAAAGATGAGTTTTCGTAGATTGAGCTAGGAGAGCAATTTTGTTAAAACTAAAATCGTTAGAATATTTAAAACTCGAGATGATTCTTTGTATATCTTGTTACACGTATGTTCTCGTATCAGAGACCTACATACGCATCCGCCCACAATACATACATAGATGCCTCCGCAAAATGCATTCAATTTCGCAGACGCGAAACTTTCGACATGCAGAATTGGCGCTTTATCCGCTGTTTGCCAAACATTCAAGAGTCAGCGGTAACTAAGGTAGGATATCGGAATACGTCAAGTAGAATACATGTGAATGAACCGAAGACTTTCATTGACCCGAGAAATTGAATTAATAAGCATTAATTTAAGCACTTATTTCTGTATAAAAAAAAAAAAAACAGAAGGAGAGAGGAAATATTGAAAATCGATAAAATCGCATATGGAATTATGTATGGAAAGGTGAATTAATGGATAAAAATATACACAGAGTCGCGCGCGATTAAGATCACGTCTCAAGAGATTAAGAGATTTAATTCCTAACAATCTTTATGAATGATAATTATTATTCGCGTAAAAAAAATTGTTAGTTACTCACCCGACGTTCCTCCTCGCGAGCAGCTCTGAGATGCGACTCGATCGCGTCGAGATCGATCTTTGGCATTGCCGTCTCGATGTTGTAAACGTCGAAGCCGCCTGTAACAGTGCGCGAGCGCTAAACGTGAGAACCTTTTGCGTCGAGGAAGGCATGACCGAAACAGTCGAACGGAAATTGAAGGAGTGTCGGAGCATCGTGTGCACGCGGAATCTCGAGTGGTCAGCCTAAAATTTACGATTTATCTCGTTCGACTAATATATTTTTCGAAAAAAAGGCAATCAAAGAGTATATGTATGTTCGTTACATAGTATAATACCCCAAACCTATCGTTATGATTTTCATCATCGATTTCTTGATTTGATATCAATTTTATAGATTCCTAATTTAGAAGATGTATGAGCGTGTGTGAATTAAGAGGAGACAATTCTATTACGCTAAATTCAAGGCAATTTTATTTTAGTGTAAGCTTACTTTGAAATTTAACACACTGAGGTATATTAATATTGAAAACCATAAACTTGTGGCATCGCAAAAAAATACTTACTAACTAAGAAAATAGCCTTTTCAAAGCACTTGCATAACTGTACGTAATAATTATGTGTAATTCGTTGGATACGCCGATAATGCACTAGTAATTATTTTTCCAATTAAGTGAAAAACGTAGTTAATTACCGTAAAATGTGCCGTAAAGTAAATTGCGTACATTCGTTAGAAAGAGCATACATATGTAAAAAAATATACGGAATACATTATAAAGAAATATATTCACGTTTATGAATCTATCATAAACGTGAATATATTCTGGAGAAAGAAATAATAATACTTAATATTTAAAAACAACAATTATAGTAAAGAGAGGAGAAAACATTAGTCCGTGTGATGAACAATAATATTAATAAAAAGAGAGACGATAACAACAATAATATAAAAATAAAATAAAAAATGAAATAATAGAATAGATAACAAAGTGTCATGTATCGATGTATTCACCTGATCCGTTATCGATGTCGGCCCTGCGTTTATCGATACGTCTCTGAGAATTAGAATTTCGCGATTGTTGCTGCTGTTGCTGTTGTTGACGGCGCTTGGCCTGATTCTTGACCATCTTCTCCTTCTTCCGGGCGTCCGCGCTAGACGCCTCCGGAAGCTCGCGATCTAGTAGCTTGTTGGTATCCTCTATATGATCCTTGATGACCGAGGTGGATCGCGACTGACCGCCACGGATGCTCTCGATCGACTCCATCGCGACTACGTCCGGCACCGGCTGGGCGTACTTCTCGAAGTCGACGCCGATGTCACGACCGATGCTCGACAACAGATCGATTTCCTCCAGCTTTGTATAGGTCGGTCGCTCCTCGGCGAAGCCCTCAGAGTAGTCGCTGTTGCTCTCCGACTCGTCGTCGTCGGCCGAGCCGCCCGCCGACGTCGTCGTCACCGGCTGACGATTGCCTATTTTGGACGGGTCTAAGTGAGGCAACTCCTTTGCCTCGCGTATCAGGTCGATGTGCTCCACCGCGACGTCCTCTGTCTGCTGAGATCGTTTACGTATTTAATCGACCGTACACGAGAGTTAGACGGACGCGAAATAGCTTGCACAGAGATATTGTGTGGATATTTTATGATAATGTGAAGTGTATAGATGATAATTAATTGTATAGATGAATAATATAGTTAGCATGAATTATTGGAATTAACAGAAAAGTCGGGATATATTTAACTTGTGTCAGATCATTAATGAATAAATATATATGTTGTTAAACGCGCACGAAATTAGTTGTTATTATAATAATTAGGTATTAATTGTAATTAAGCAATAAAGAATAATGATCAAATCTAGATATTAATTAAAATCAAAACACAAATTAGATATTATCAAATATTATTTACAGTCAAAACTATAGATTAAATGAGATCATCTCTTTTCAGATATCTTGTTTTTGCTGCAAATTTTTAATTGTTTCAAGATTCATTTTGAAGATGACAAATCGTCATCACAAAAAACCGCCAATCTGAACTCACCTCGCTGATCTCGCTGGTCTTTCCGGAATCCAGGATTTCCTCGATTTCGGGAAACTGCAGACTCTCGTTCACGCTGGTCGTCAGTTCCACCAGTTCGACCTGGACGGGTATCTCCCTTTCACGGTTGTTCTCGAGGATCGCCCGCGATAGTTCGGGCGTGCGCTCGCTTACCTGGTCGGCCAGACCCTCCTCCCGTTCGTCCAGGAGCGTCAGGTGGGTCTCCGCCTCGACGATGCCGTTCACGACGACCTCCTCCGGTTCTGGCGATTGTGCCTTCTTCTCGGACCTAGAGACCTCCACGCTCTTCACGTAGTTGATGCACTTTTCCGAAGGCGGCACCACCGACTCGTACAGAGAGGTCACAGTCTGGAACGCGAGAGAGACGAGAGCGGCGATGATGATGTCACGCGAGAATACTCTCGTAGGAGTATACCCGATTATTTTTACACGTTGATAACTCGCGCCGGCTGCTCTCGTCCGGTTTTGTCAGTGACAAGTTTGACTTGCTCATAGAACGAATTCGCGGGATTGCCATGACAGATGAGAATTTCGCAAATCGAATTGGTCTAATCTCTTTGCTGACGATCAACGCCAACGCAACGGGATCAAACGTCCTTAACTCGATGAGTAGAGATAAATCGATCATTCATCATTTACATACATTTTCTTCAGAGTTTTAAAATATTTAATATTAAAATACTTGAAGATGAAACAATACAAATATATTAATCAAATATATTAATCAAATATATTAATTATTAATAACAATATTAATCGACAAAAAGATAATTTTTAAAACAATATTTTTGGAATATTTTATTATTTTGCAAAAAGAAAAGAAAAGTTTGACATAAAATTAAACTTCATAACAATGTATGCACATGTCGCATCGTCAAATAATTGCCGTTTATATCTACAAACTTTTGAATTTATAGTACTTTCGTCTACATCTACTTTATGACATTAAAATTTAATTCCGAGCCACTAATACAGTGTAATCCATTCCAAATGCTCGATTACCTGTATATTAAACTTGGGCTTCTCGTAAAAGATCTTGCGGTCGTTGCGCTGGCCGCAGAGGTGATTAATGCTGTCGTCGACGTTGTTGTTGTACTCGTTGCCGTTCTCCTGGGCTACTTCGCGGTGATGGACACTGTAGAGGGGCGGATAGTCGGAGCAGCTGTCGTGCTCGTCCTCGGTCAGGTCGGTATCCGATAGCAAAGAAGGCGCCAGATGCTGGAAACCGGGGTAGTTGGGGTTGACGATGCCGCGGCAGCCCGCAGGCAGATTCCCTTCCTCGGACCAGTCGGACCACTCGGAAGGCGTCAGTTCGCGCGACGAGTTCTCGTGCGAAGAGTTACGTCCTGAAACATTTCACAGTTGCGCTTGTCTCAATATTGGCCGGATAATTGGACGTCGCTGCATTAGATGATTCATGACTCATCGTCATGATTAGCCTGACTCGTGCGCTTGTAAAAAGCGTTCGCGATCGCTTCACGCGATCCAGTCGCGAGATCCTCAATAACTTGACAAGTATATACAACTCATCGTATTCGTATAGTATGAATAAATCATCTAGCTTAATTAATTGATTAATAGAGTGTCTTTTGCATGCTTTTGCTATTTCTCGATCTTGGAAAATTCTCGGTGCCCCATGATTAACTTGTTACTAGGTAGGTATTGTTGATTGTCATTGGACAGATCAGTGATACCACTATAAGATTTATAAGATCTTTGATTTTATACGTGATTACTTGCATAAAGACTCGGCTGCATAGATTCTTGGCTTTACAGGCCATCATTTGCTTATGGATCTTTGGTTTTATGGGACAGATTATTATATGACTGAGGCTACGGTGCTGTTCGAATATTATTATAGATTAATATAAGAGATTTTTTTCTTGATTTTATATAAATTCTTTTGAAGATTGTTAAATAATAAATTCTATAAATTATTGTTTTTTAGACATACAATTTATATACTAAATTTAAATTTATAAATTAAATTTTTATCTATGCATCCTTTACACATTGTAGAATATTAATTCCATATATTAATTCTACAAATTTTTATAGATAATTGATTCCATGATTGATATCATATTCTGCTCTTACAGATAATTTTCGGAGTTAGCGTTAATCGTAGATTTTAAATCTTTGATAAACAATGGTTATTCTAAATTCAAATTTTGCGCGACAAACTAATTATCACGTAAGCTAATTATCAACCCAATAACTGCGGATAACTTTGATTCAACTAAAAATTCCTGCTCTTTACGGATGATGGTTAATGTCAAGGATGCACGCGCGCGTTATTAATGGCATTTAGCGGAAAATATCGAAGTTCGCTCCTGCAATGAAACCTTCAAACGCCATTGCTTTCCAATAAAATCTTGAGCATCAGCATAGCGTGGTACTTAAAACATGCGTGTCTGAAAAGTAGGCCAATCTATTGTTCGATGGACGCGGAGATCTATATTAAATATTAATGGATCTAACGATACAGATGTACATCCATTCATTACTCAGAGATTTCTCGAATGACTTTAAATGTATTCAAAAATATGTACGTTTATTTTATTATTTTGTTTTTCTAGAACTTCTCTGCATTTTATCAATCTTTTTTCTCATTTTCGTAGCTTTTCATGAATTATATGTGATTTACTCGTATTGTAAGAGAAACTGTGTTATATATATGTATCCTTTCAAGATGATTAAATCATATGAGATATGATATATGAAATAATTCAGAACGAAGGAGCTCACCTTCGTAATCGGTGAGGCTCTCGACGGAGCTGCTCCTTCGTATCCTCGACTCGGTCAGATTGTTGTTTACATTGGCGGATTGCTCTTCGATCGTGCCTAACAATATAGATCTCTTACTTATATAAAGTATTTTTTTTTTTTTTTCGTCTTTCTAGATCCTCTTTATCGATTCTCTTTCTTTGAATTTATTTCAGAGGTTTTTTACATTTCTCTAATATGATTAAATTGCACAAGAGAATATATCAGATACGTTATTAGCGTGAACGACATACTACTCTATCATTCAAATTGCTTCATGCTTAAATAAATAATCGATGCAAAAATATAAATGACATAAATATTAATACAAGATATAATTAAAAATATCTTATTGAGAGCGTAAGATAAAAATAACTCCAACAGACACAATAAGCCAATATTCTACTATCTTCTAAAAAAATTCTTCAAATATTTTTATAAAGCACAAAAGACACATCTGAAGGATAATTATTTTTTTGCTTTTTATTTCGGATCGATATATAGTATATATATATATTTGTAGAACAACACTCACCCTCGTAGTCGGCGAGGCTTTCGACGGAGCTGTTTCTCTGTATTCTTGACGCGGTAAGATTATTGTTGACGTTGGTGGACTGTGGATTACTTTGCTGGACGTTGTCGCGCGCGATTGCCAGGGAGGACCACGTGGTGGTGTCTTCGGCCAGCCGAAAGTCCGCCGACTCGTCGACCGGGTAGTTCGGCGCGACCGGCTCCCGGGTCGCGTTCTCGTTGCGATCGCCGCCGATCTCGCCGGCACCGATCGACTCGTGCCTGCGAAGCTGGCTGTGGAGCGAGACCGAGAAATGAGTCCAGGTGGATCGATACTACCGTTGCCGTTAGGTATATAACACTTGGGTCCGCCGAGGCGGTATAGGCGGCAGCACGCCTACGAGACCGCCGTCGATCAGACGTTTATATTTAGCGCCTACTTGTAACTAGGAACTGATCAGACAACTTTGTCACAGTCGGATAAATATTATATAGTACATAATTGATATGCATAATTTGTATATGATACAACCGTTATGTATATGATATAACCGTTTCATTTGGATATTTGTTTATTATATTGCAAGACATGGAGAATCAAAATATCAAAGGGAGGCAGATGCTTATAAATGCTTATAAATGAGGATATTATTAATAAATGCTAACTAAAATTAATAACTTACAGTAATAATACCGAGATAGTCGGAGATAGGTCATTTTTCCCCTTTAATTGCCCCCCCCCCCCGCTTTAGTTGTTAAAATTATTACCTGTTATTAACTGTTTAATAATTTCTTAAACGATATACTTGAAAATAAAAAAAAAATTATTTTAAAAAGCAATTTGTATTTTTTGTGTAATTTTTTTTTTTTTATTGTGAAGGAAAAGCTATTATTGCAATTCTTCTCAGATTTTAGTAAGAAGATACCCAGACAGCACAAGGATGTCCTTAGGACGTCCAAAGGGCATCCAGGACATACATGTAGGATATCCTGAGGATATCCTATTTTAATCCTCGGATCTCCTCTGGATGTCCTGAGGAAGAGTAAATGATAGCCGTACACTAGCCTCTGGAGAATCCAGGGAGATCCTGTGGAACATCTTAAGGATTTCTATAGGATATGTTAGGGATATTTTTCATACGTTAAAAGGAACAAATTCTAAAATTTAAATATAAATTAAGATTGCGTTCTGTTATTTACTGCCAATACTAAAAATCTAATACTAAAAATAGTTCACGTTCTTTAATATTTGAGGTTTTCGTGCTGTACATGAATATTTTAGGTTTGGCTTCCGGGTTTGAGTCGTGTAATATTTTCAAAACAATCCAATATCTGAATTCCCTATGTTGGGATTGCATCAGAAATTGAACTGATAAAAAATAATTATATTTTTAATTTCCTGTTAGTTGCTCTTTGCAAGCTTTATATAATTCTCATGACCAAATCTCAAATACGAGTTTGCGCGTCGCATAGCGGTAAACAAACGAACTAGCGGTTGAATACTATTTTTTGTAAAGTTTTTGGAATGTTGCGCATAGTAACATTTCTCATAAATTATTAAATAAATAATAATTTTGAATATGTGAAAATGTGCGCATCAAATTCAATTATTAATATTAAACGAAATTAATGTTAACAGTTAATTGCACATGTATATGTCCTCTGGAAATCCAAAGGACATTCAATATAATAGACAGGGCAGGTATCCTACAGACATCCAGGGGTTATCCAATGGACATTTATAGGACATTAATACTTATTACAATACTTAAAATTTCTAAATTATATTAAATAGCCTACATAACCGAAAGTAATCATGTATGCATATTAAATTTTCATAAAATATATTTATAATAATATCTTAAAACATCCTACAAATATCCTGAACCATCCTGGACATATTCAGGATGATCCTGAGGACGTTTTGTGCTGTCTGGGTATGTATCAAATCATATTTAATTCCTAAGTACTTTTTCTGGAGTTGAAAAAAAGATCGAATTAATTGAACATTTAATGCTAATCAAATTAATTGTTGTAAAGAATATAGATTTGATAAAAACAAAATGTATTGATAAAAACTGTGCGAAACCGACCATTGATCATACAATGAGCATTAAAATTAACACTTAAAACACGTTATGTAATATGGAAAAAGAAATCGGTGAGGCAACTTTTCGCAATCCTTTCCTTTCATGTCCCTTTTCAGGTTTTCGATTAGGTGATCATTATCTCCGCACGTGATCACCCGGTCGTCAATTAACCCCCATTCGTGCGCTCGCCGAGGATATCATCTCATCAAGGTACTTACTTATTGTTCAGTCCTCCGGGATGCAACGGCACCGAGATCGAGATAGATTCCCTGAGCCGCATATCGATTCCTCGTCTAAAAAAGAATACGAACGGCCAGTTAATTCACCGTTCTTCGAGATGAAAGGAGTCTTGCATGCATCACTAGCACTAATTTTCTCTATCTCGAGGAAGAGAGAGAGAGAGAGAGAGAGAGACACGTCAGAATTCGTATATTTTCAATCAAATGTATTTCTCGTAACCTTGCGGACGTAACCTTCAAGCGTGACAGTTTCAGCATCTTTGGCTTACGAGACAATACGGCATTTTTATCACGGCTTTTTCACGGTCGCTAGAACGCGCGAGAGAATGCCAGCGCCAAT